CCCGGTGGTAGAGGTGGCCGCAGCCGAGGCGCACGACGCGCTCCGGCGAGCTCGCGAAGAGCTCCATGCAGATGGCGCACTCGCCGTGGCTCACGAAGCGCGGCCCGGGCGTCGCGGGGATCTCCGCCGTCTCGGCGGTCCCGGGCCGCTCGGGCGACGGCGGCAGCGTCAGCGTCAGCATCTCGACCTCCGTCGCGTGCTCGGCGACGGCCGCGCGCGCCGTCGCGCGCAGCGACTCGGCGGAGGGCGTCACGGGCACCTTGGGCCTCCTCCGGCACGCGCCCGTCGTCTCTCGCGCGGCGTAGGCGACCAACGAGACGACGAAGACGCCGATGAAGACGAAGGCGGCGACATGGTGCGGCGGCGGGCCCTTCTTCTTCCCTCTGGCGTAGGGACCCCGCAGGCGGCGCGCCGCGCCGTCGAGGGCCGGCGCTGCGCCCGGGGCGCTGGCGGTGATCGTCGAGCCACAGAAGACGCTCCCGCAGCCGAACGCATGGGCCGCGCTGGCGACGAGGAGCAGGCCCCGCCAGGCGACGACCATGAGGAGGGCCGCGGACCCGCCGACGCCCGTTGCCCCCGAGGATCCCAGCGGCAGGACGCTGCCCGACTCGAGTCGGGTTTGCTGCTGTGGGTCGCGTAACCCTTTGTCCGAAAAAATCGATGATGAACGCTGAAGAGATATTGAATGTCCAACATCTTGCTTCCTTCGTTATTGCCGTCGCAGCGCGATTAGGTCTTGCGGGATGGGCGCGTCTAAAGCAGCCCTGTTCGGGGTTTGGAGGTCGGTCCCACCTCGTGAGACCACGACCGTCGCCTGCGCACACATGTCGAATGTGTGAGTGTTGCGCTCTCACGAGGTGGGACCAACATCGTCACGTCGCGCGGGGGCAGCCTCGCCCCTCGGGCCACCTGATCCGGCGCCGGTGGGTCGCGAGGTCGGTCCCACCTCGTGGGACTGTCACGGAACCGTCCTCCATCGGGCGAGGGATGAGTCCGCGGCGGCGTTCTTCCCCACGGGGTGTTGTCGCTGCGCATGGGTGACGCCAGTCGACGGGATGCGCCGCGGCGTCCGAGCCCGACCAGGAGAGTTCGACGATGTCGAAGCTCTGCAACAAGCCCTTGCGACCGGACGCAACGGGGCTGTTGATGAACGATTCCCGACGCTGCGAGGGCTCTGAAACTAGCTTTATGGGGTCGCGAGGGGGCTGCGCGTCGCTTCCGAGCCATTGATCCCCCCCGTTTGAGTCGCCTCGCAATCGCCCGGACGTCGCGTTTTCACCGGTGCGTCCGCGTGATGCATGCGGAGCATAAAGCCAATGGCATGGTAGCTGCTACTGTGGAAGGGGCTGCGCTCTGGCACGATCTCCGCTGAAAACTCGTCCATGCTCTTCGAGCTTCGACGCCTTTTATCCACCGTCCGATCCGATATCTTGTCGTCCGAACGAGCGCAAACTACCTTACATTTATTTCTACTTATCAACATGTCGACGTTGCTTCACGTTGCGCGACCCACAGCTGCAGGCCTGATCCCACACGCGAGCGCGCGCGTCACTCGTTGCGAGCGCCCCACGGCCTCCACACAGCGGCGATGGCCGAGATCGTGTCCGTGGGCGTGCGCCGCGCCGCGCGCGACGACTCGTGCCTCTTCTCCGCCGTGCGCGCCGCCGTCGGCGACGACGACGAGGCGCCGCGCCGGCGGCGCTGCTGCGCGCGCGCCGAGACGCCGGCGGACGCGCTCCGCCGCCGCTGCGCGGACTACGTGGGCGCGCGCCCGAAGCGCTTCGACGAGGCCGCGCTGGGCATGCCCAACGCCGCATACCGGCGGTGGATCGCGCGCCGGAAGAACTGGGGCGGCGAGGTCGAGCTCGTCGCGCTCTCGGAGCTGCTCCGCGTCGACATCGCCGTCTGGTCGCCGTTCCGCAGCGACGAGGCG